AATAGAGAGACACCTTGACATCCGTAGCTGCTGCAGGCTACATGATACACGTACAGTAAACATCTCAAAGTCATCATGATGAAGGTCATATGACAGTTCTTTTGTTATGATGAATGTACTGAAAAACTCAAAAGCATCTACAAAGACGTTCCACGTCATCTCTTCAATCAAATCTCCTCGAATCAAACGTCCTAAGAAGAGAGAAGTCAAAAATTTGAGCTTTAATCTGGGATACACAAATCATTTTTAGGTAAACAAAGCTTTAAATCATACCTATCTGCTTGTAATTCATCTGCAAGGTGAAACAGCAGGACATGACCCATCTTCAAAGACTGTATTTGCACCTGAAGTTTCGGTGAAGTGATGGTATAGCACTCCTGCTCATGTCCTTTGATGAAACATCAATGGGGGTGATTTATTTATGTTTGTGTAGAGTGATACTGTCTACTTCCCTGTGGCTACAGCCCGTTGAACATTTCATTGTGAGTCATTGTCAACTGCACTGCCTGCTCTTATTACTGCGATACTGTAATTAGGCTCATATACAATTTCATTGACATTGAGAAAATGCACTTACATTGCTAACGTCAAGATTTGATGTGTAGTGGGCGTTTTTGACGCACTAGCTGACGTTAAAGTAATGCTTGGTCTTCCATATATTTGCGTGAAGGGGTCGGACGTGGAGGCAGGTGTGTAGGAGACATAAAAGACATGGTAAAGAAGGTTGTTCGCCTTCAAGCATGGATGCAGGTACGATCTGAAAATATAACACCTATGAACTTTGCTTGGCATAAATGAAAACTTTTCCAAGTAGCCTTTAGCTATAGTAGGACTTTTATAGTAGGGCATCTGTTCAATCCACGGCCGATGCTACTAGATTTATCTAGATACTTCCTTCTGTCCTAGTTATGTAAGATCTCTTTGGCCTTGGATGCTCATATCATCCACATGAGAAAAAAAATACAGCTAATTATCTTGATGAAACCTCAATAATGTTTCTATCATCAAACTAAAGTTGGATAATTGTCCTCGTGAGATAGAAATGTTGAAATTTATCACTCTGCTGCAAGATATTTGCAAAATAATTAGACTTGTAAAAAAAACAGGTATTTAACTGCACAGCAGTTGGTGTAAAAAATACATCCGTGACAACTGATACTGCGAAAAGAGAGAAAGATGGAGAGGTTGTTGTGACAAACAGTCATAGCAAAAAGAGAGAGCTTGTCCTCTGAGATTTTAACTTGATGTTTGGGTCCTTCCTCGAGGGGTTCTGAGACAGACAGAGGAACTGGACTGGGAAATTAAGAATAAACAGACAAGTGCGACAAGTGGGAGTGCAGAAAGCGAGTGAGAGAGATCGACAATAACAGAGGGTAAATAGAAAGTATGGGTGATTGCCACTGACAGCACTGTAGAGGTAAATATGAAGCCTTCTGCTAGTCAACAGTCACAAATCTGAGCACAGTTTGAGATATTAAGATGCCACTGAAGCTCTACAGAAGACATATTTGAGATTACAAGGGTCTTATTCTCAGGTGAAACACATGAGAAACATTAGACTCCATTTGTTCTGCATTTAATATCACTGCATTCTAGGAGAACAGTTGAGATGGTAGAGAGATCTTGCTACGTCTATACTGTTGATCTAGATGTTTACAGGTCTTTTACCCTTGTAATAATTCTTCCTGAAATGTCTCCCTTAGTAGCTTGGGTCTTCTTTTCTAAGTATTATCTTTTTGTCCAGGCCGACTGTCCCTGGTTTCTTTTTTTGATCTTGTTTGTCGTTCAGTTACTCACTTCCTGTCTGTCGTAGACTTATGTTTCCTTCTAAATCCCATCCGTCGCTCGTTCTCCATGTGGTCACAGCTCTCTGCTCCGCATTGATTGCTGCAACGCTGGATCGAAACATAATTTTCATCTTTGCTCAGCTCGCTCACATCCACTTCCATCCAGCCCTGCTTATTTTCATCTGGTGTTGAATAATCACAACTGACCCCTGCCATATAGCGAATATGTTCTTGCACAAACCTATCTATCTATCTAGCTATCTATCTATCTATCTGTGACTCTCTGTCACTGACTTCATCTCTATGTGGAAATCAATGTAAAGAGCTCTGATAAATCCTTTCGGAGATGTCAAAAAGGAAATTAGTTGTGGTCACTTCAGAATAACACGTACAGAAAAGAAAAAGAAACCGCTTATCCCACACCCTGATGCTTATTATACTGTACTACTTTACTTCTTATTTTACATCTTTCGTTCTGTCTTATCTGACTTACTGATTTCATTTCATATCTGTCTGCCTTATTCAAATTACATCACACATCATCTTCAATTTCTGTTTCCTGCCTTTTTCTCACTTTCCCTCTAATAATAGTTTCCTCTTCATCTCTTTCTGTTTCAACCTGACACATTGGTTGATGAAAAAGGATGTGATGTGAAGTACATATGTGTAGAGTTTTTTTCAAGTTTTGTTAACCAGTAGAGATTTTGGAGTATCGTCTCTATTGCAGTTACAGGCTTATGTGACGTTGCTGTGCTACATGGTCACGGAAATGTATCGTTTGCATGCATTTTTAAGCATTGTGGATTAAAAACAAGCAAGTGATTTTAAGTCGCTGAAGCACAATCAGCAGTGAAAGAAAACTCATTACGCTATATGTGTGTGCTGTCTGGGAGATTGTTTCTGAGTGCTGTCAGAGAGATGTGCGCATGTGGAGACGGTTAGTTATTTTTGCCTCTTTATAGGCCTAGAACGGTTAAATATTCACACTTGTATGTGTCAAAATGCTCATCTTTGCAAGTATCCTCGTAAACACAGTAATTTAGGTCTTAAGTGAAAGCAAACAGCTGAGAAAGAAAACACATATGTGACCCTGGACCACAAAACCAGTCTAAAGTCGCTGGGGTATATTTTTAGCAATAGCCAAAAAAAACAAAAACATTATATGGGTCAAAATTATCTATTTTTCTTTTATTCCAAAAATCATTAGGATATTAAGTAAAGATCATGTTCCATGAAGATATTTTGTAAATTTCCTACCGTAAATATATCAAAACCTAAATTTTTGATTAGTGATATGCTTTCTCAGTATTTTGATTTTTTTGTACACTCAGATTTCAGATATTCAAATGTATCTCGGCCGAATATTGTCCTATCCTAACAAACCATACATCAATGGAAAGATTATTTATTCAACTTTCGGGTGATGTATAAATCTCAATTTCGAGAAATTGACCCTTATGACTGGTTTTGTGGTCCAGGGTCACATATGTAACAGTAAATTGGATCCAGGCAGCTCTTAAGATGACAGCAGTCTAATATTCCGGCTGTCTGTCATTCATGTTAATCAAACAACAAAAGAGGGAAAATATCTTACTGCTCTTGACTCATTCACTTTCGTAACTCTGAAAGAAATATATATTTAATTTACACAATGAAGAATATGTAGTATTTTTATACATTTGATTACTTTATACCAGGGTTCCTCAATTAGTTTTTGCTGAGGGCCAAATTCTGCCAACAACACCAAGCCAAAGGCCACAAGGGGGGGATCAAACTGTAACACCATGTGTCCCAACCAGACGCGACGTGACGCGATAAAAAGCGATCTTTTCCATGTAGTTTTTGTCCTAACCACCCGCAACAGCGACACGTGACAATAAGCGACACGGATTCTATTTTAGAAATGGTTTTCATTTTCTGCGTAATCGCGGCAGGAACAAAATACAACATATGACAGTGATAATCTCAGGTAATCATCTATTTTCCGTCCACTTTTCTTTTCTTCTCACTCGCCACGTTTTTGCTGTCACATCGTATCTACACTGGACGCGACAGCATTGCAAATCATTTGAACTTTGTGTCAGTACGTCATAAATAGAACGAGTCAGCAGTTTACTGTTGGGGATTTGTCGTGTCCCGCCACGCCACATCCAGTGTAGACAGCATCACTGATTATAATGGGTTCTATTGTATTTTGTTGCGTCGCGCTGCGCCGCTCGCATCCGATGTAGACACGATGTAAGTTAATGTCGCTTTCTGATGCAGCGTTTGAATTTTCATGCCACATTATGTGAAATTAGCGCGGGCCAAACATTTTTCTCTCACGGGCCGGATGTGGCCTGCGGGCCACCTATTGAGGAACCCTGCTTTATACAATGTATGTAGCATTTCATATTTATTTGTTCTTTTGTGTCCTATTGCTTGTAATTAGTTTCTTATTCTTATTTAATCGCTGACTGTTTACTTGTCTTCAGTGAGATTTTTTGTGATATTGACACTTGTGACAAGAATTATAAAATTTCTTTGGTATCAAAAATATTGATATCATAAAGACCTTATCTAAAGCAAAAATAACTATATCGTGATACTGTTAATGTGAAATAAAATTCATAACTCATATCTTGATATAAGATTTTGGTCATATCGCCCACCCCTAATTGAAATAGTTTGTCAAATTATCTGACCTCAATTACATTTTAATTTGTATTGTGGTGACATTTAAGAGGTAAAGTAAAACAGTCCAGTCCATTTTGTCCCTTTCAGTGGGACTGTGCCTGTTAGAGGCAGGCAGTATAGGAAATAGTGTAAATGCATTTCCAATTTGTTGATATGAACAGGCCAGTTTCACCACAGTAAATTTAATCTAGATCTTTGCTTTTTTTCAGTTGTATATGTTACAGCTACTCATCAAGTATTCATTCAGATGAAAGCATCTCTCGTTCTCATCTGCCGTCTAAATTTAAAGTCTTTTTATGGTTACTGCCAGACGTGATTGTGTGTGCTTTTGTACTCTGGGAAAATCACAGCTTATATGCTAAGGATAAAAAAGAAAAAAAAAACAGTTTTGATGCTGTTGACAAATCTTCAGGCCGTAGAATGAAGTGTGTCTGTGTGTGCATGATAACAAATTGGGATCGCTAGGAATATTGCATGCAGTCTGTTTGTTGAAATGTAATCAAATTCTTATTGTTCTTTTCCTCCATTTTTCCCCAGTGGACTTTCACAGAAGATTTGGGTGTTTTGAAGGCAGGGTCTTCCCTGGTTGGTTGTGAAGATCTAAGTAAACAAAGCTTGTTACTGTGGCATAACTGACTTTTGGATCTGAAAATTGGCAGCAGAGTCCTATTGAAACAAGAAGCCTCCAGAATCATCCAAAATATCCTATAAAGATGGAGTTCAAATTAAACCTTGAATGCTGATTTATTAGAGTGAAAAGGTAAGAACTTTTTAAATAGCACAAACCTCTTGTAACTCAAAAAAATCTTTAAAGTGAATAGATGCTATTGCTCTTAAACATCAGAACTAATGATAATGGTGCAAATGTTGTGCTAAATATGGTGATGTTCTTTTGTGTAGCACCTACAGCTCTGCATATTATTCTGCAAATAGTGCTTAAAGGTGCAATAGGTGATTGTCTTCAGAAACATTTTTTGTTATGCTGGTTGAAAGTCTCTTCACATCCCGATAGCAATCATTAAGTTAAGTGGTCTAAATGTATTTATCTGTATTTATATATTCTGTGGAAGGAGTAGGACCAAGAAATGTTCGTCCAATCAAAACGCTCGGTCCGAGCGTTTTAATTCGCTTTCCTCCCTTAATATCGCTCTGCATATTTTGCTTGTCTCGCTTAGTTAACACGCCCGATTCAGGCTAAAGTTAGCATTTTCCAAGATCTCCTACTGCACCTTTAATCGTTTTAGTCTGACTTAAATGGTTAAGCACTATGTGCAACTACATAGCTTTCTATTACACCATGTTTGCTTATATAATTAGCTTTTGCGTAGAGGCTTGTATTTGAATGATTTGGCAGTTATTAATGATATTGGACATCATTGTAAACCACAGCCCATGCAAAGTGCTGTTGCAAATTTTCAGTTTCTTTTAAAGTTAAATATGAGCAAGTTTAGTCCATCTTCTATATCTGGCCATTATATAAAATTTGTAAGGGAAATAATGCAATACTATATAACTGTACTTCAAGAAAAATATTAAATATGTCGGCGCCAATAGCCTAGTGGACAGTGTGCTGACATATAACGTTGTTGCGTTGCAGGCATCCCGAGTTCCAATACCTGCTTTAGGGCCTTTCCCGATCCCAGCCACCCCCTCTCCCACTTCACATCCTGTCTACTCTACACTATCCTATCTTAATAAAAAGGCACAATATAAAGGCACTATATATATATATATATATATATATATATATATATATTAAATGTGTGAAAATAAAAATGTATGAGATGAAAATACAGTAAATTCACCAGTCTAATGAGTAGGACTGGGAATTGTAAGGAATTATACAGTAGTTTTGATTCAATTACTTAAGTACATGTGTACTGTTTGGATCAATAATTTTTAAGTAATAATTAGAAGTTAATTTTATTTTGGGTACTTTAGTAGAGTGTTCCACCTGTGTCATGTTCAAAAGCCTTTAAAAAAAGTTATACAAATCATTAATTCTCGATTCCCAGTCCTACTGATAAATGCACTCAGCTGTGCCAGCATAATTTTTTTTTATCCAGCATGTAATGGTCCCAGCCAAAGGTACAATTTGCTTGGATAGGAATACCTCGTATTGCCTCATATCTCTCTCTTTGTCATTATCTCTCTATTTGTCAGGCAGTCATGTGATAACTTTTTGTCTGATGCTCAACACATTTAGGTACACACTTACTCAGAAATCGCCAGACAGTCCCTGCTGTTCTCCTGCTGTGATTTCTGTTCCGATTCTGAGGTCCAACTGAGATAGTCTGCCAGCCAATGGGGGGACAGTTACTGTACTTGAGTCTGTGTGTATGTGTGTGTTGGTGCTGAGTGTGTTCGGCACACTGTAGTAAAGTAGTGTTACAATGAACCATTCTCCTTTAATAGAGAGAAAAATGTGTTAAAATCTTTTTCAACAATATAACGTCCAATAAAAACCGTCGTGTTTCTTGTTCCAATGACATCCTGCACAATGGCAATAGAAACTTCAGTTAAACCAAGAGCAAAAAAACTAATATACCTCATATATCCACATTGTAAGTAATGTAGAGATTAACCTATGCTGTCATGGCTGCAATAATGGCTTGTATGTGTGTAAGGCAGAGGTAAACATTTCACATAAATGAGAACCCAAAATTTATTCATTTTCTGCTGTGTGTTATAGTGCTTTTTCACATTTGTCTTGATTCACAGTGGTTCCAGAAGGCGGGATTTATTTGCTTGCTTGTCTTTAGCTCCAGTTGCTTCAAGGGATTTTCTTTTGTTTGACAGAGTTTGTAACTTCTCTTGAGGGTTCAGAAGCAAATGGCCAGTCATTGTAGGGTAGCCGCCAGTCAGTCCACTTTTCAATAACTTGGATCGTGCATGCTGAAAATATATTCATTTAGTCCCTAAGGAAAGAGCCAAGAGAGAACGGGTGAAAAGAAAAGCATTCTGATCAGATTTTTATCCACACTGAAGGTACACTTACTACAGGTACCGTAGAATAAGAAGTGGACTGAAAATGAAATGGTTGTTGGTTGCTTGCATCTTTGCAAGGGTTGATCAGTGATCGATCACCATTGTGTCTTGCACCAGAGTGTGCTGAAGACACAACAGCGATAGAACAACACTTGCAAGGATGCAAGGAACTTGCAACCTTTTAGTTACCAGGCCAGTTTAGCCTGGGTTTGTCTTGACAAAATCTGGTTCACATTCAGTTTATTCTAGTCAAGAATTGCCTAAGGAGACGGCCTAACTGACATGTAAAGCTACCAAGCTCAATTCAATTTGCTTTTGTGTAATTTGATGCCAGTAATCTGGTGAGCCTTGGCAAATCCAGTAATTAGTTCTTTCTCCAGAAGGACTTGTTGAATCAACCTGGTACCTTGCAAACATGAAGGTTTCAAAGCTGACTGATAGAAAAACCTGTGTGCCTTTAATCACAAAAGTTGCAGAAATCCAGCCAATCAGATTAGATATTGTCAGATCAAGAAAGTCCAATCCAGTTTTGTTTGCAGTATGCATATTCTGTGAGCCTCCCACTTGAAGCTGAGACTAACCGCTAGGTTACACCATCCCGATTTAAACTGCATGGTGGGCAGTTTTAAGAACCCCTATCTCCCAATGAGCATCTCAAAGGTCCGAGCAAGGTCTAGCGGGTAAAGATTTGGGGTCGTACACTCAACTGTGATGACCTGCTGATGGAGACTCTTAGAGATTTTATCCATTAGCCCTTTTGGAAAGCACTGTAACTGTGAGTGTATGAGTGTTTTCTCTTCACTGTGTATCGTCTCCATCTCCTACCATACACCAGCGCTCCTGTCAAATCTACTTGTTTGCACCCCAGATTGCCTTGGCGACATGTTGCCTCTTGTGCAATGAGGTGCTCCTAAGTGTGTGTTGCTGCGTGAGAGAGACTGCTTGGCAAGTCGAGCATATGTGTGTGGCTCTGATGGGAACAGCTGATACATGCTAGTTTCATTTTTCGGCAGCTCCACCGAAGATAAGAGGCTTTCGGACAGACTGCTTGGGACTTTGTGTGTGCGCTGGGTTATCCAAGATAAATTCAGGCTTGTATGGGATTGTGTTAGCGGCCAATTCCTTTCTTCTCTCTACTTCTGTCCTGACTCCTTAGGCTCACGGCGGCATTTTTTACCTGGACGTCTTACCGAGGGCTTCTTCACCTTGGAGCGATAAAGACCAATTTGACTATCATGATAAAGACTTGCCCAGTTCTTCAAACCAAAACTCCTTTGAGACTTGTTAATGAGAGCAGCAGGTTACTTCTTGCTTTGCTCTTTGTTCATTTGTTTGTTGTGTGAGAAACAGAGCCAAGCCCGATGGAGTGGAACCCTGCCAGTCCCGGTGGAATGTTTCCATTGACTGCTCAATCATTGGCTAAGACACCTGTCTGGGGACCAATGAGAGGGAGTTACCGGGCAGAGCTCCACCCATGGCCCTTAGGATTCCACGCTAAGCTATTCCATCTCTCTCTAGTCAATGGCTAGCCAGCACTAGTTGCCAGGTGCTAGTTACCCTCTCCAGCAAATCAGTCAGGCATGCCAACCTCTCTCTTCAATAAACGTCCATCTTACATCCCCCCCCCTTAACCTCACTTGTTAAGCCAAATGCCTGCACTTCCCCTTAAGTGGGGTCTTCACCTTCTTGTACAGCACCAGAGTTGCTATTGCTGCTTAACGTTGGGGTATGAGGGAAAAGGATTGTGCCAGATCAGTGTAAATTGGCATCCTCTATTGGTTTCCAGGGATGGGGAAATCTTCTGTGGCTTCTCCACCCCAGTGGCTCATCTGCATTAGCGTCGTGCTAATCTTATTAACTTCTTGTTATTGAATCCTGCAGGATTTTTGCCTGCTGCTACGTGATGCTGCATATTATACAGTCCTCCCTCCGCTGAGTCGCAGGATATAGAGGGGGAGAGAAGAGACGAGGAGACAGGAAGCAGAAAGGATAGAAAATTTGACCGGCCTTCCACTTAAGTACACGTTCAACGTGATATATCCTTACCTGTCATGTGCTTGAGCAAATCGCTCACTGTGTGAACGTTTGCGTGTTTCCTGGCTCAGTGTTGAATATCTTTTTTTTTTTTTTTTTTTCCTCGCTTCAATTGAAGGCTTTTCTAAATCATTTCTTTCTCAGGGAAATGCATCAGTCTCGTTCCCTCTTTCTGTCTCTCTCTCCCATCTAAAGGGAGTAGGCCAGTGGTTCACAACCTTTTTTCCTCATACGTTTAGTAGCCTGCACATTGAAAACAGCAATTTTTATTCACAGCTAGCTTAGATATGATGTGCTTTTGAAACCATAGTAAATGCATTTGAATTACACACACTTACCTTGCACCCAGTTTGGTTATTAACGTATAAACTGACCTGCTTTTTCATCTTTACTAGGAACCCTGTGTCTGTGTGAGTTTAATGATTGCTATTTCTGCCTTGAATCTGTCATGTCTTTTACAACCAGTTCAGTGAATGCAGAGAACTTTATTTTTGATACAAGCTGTATTTTGTCCCATATTTAAACGTTTTATAGTTAATTCCCGCTCACAGAGGATGTCTTATGCATATACGCAGACAATTAAATAATAACACGGATATGTCTTGTGTGAACGGGCTGTCTGAGGCTGCAAAAATAGCACAATTTTGTAAACCAGCAATGCAGAACACGGTTAAAAATCAATCCAGTTCACTCTGTGGCAGCTGTGGGGTAGAATACATCTCAGACATCTGTGGCTTA